GAAAAACTTGATTGACAGGTTTTTGTTTGTCATATTTTATCCTATAAGATTAAAGAATGATAACGTTAGTGTATGGTTCGTTTTCTGGCGTATGTTATTGAGTAAACACGGGTATAAGTTGGCTACATTTGACAACTAACATCATGAAGGCATACCTATATATATATATATATATATATATATATATATATATATATATATATATATATATATATATATATATATATATATATATATATATATATATATATATATATATATATATATATATATATATATATATAATTTGTATTTTACTTGGTTGTCTTCGGCTATATAGACAAAAGTTAGCAATGCATTTGAACAAGTGTTCCGTCATACCAAATACAAAATTAAATAATTCCCTCCAAAAGGGCTGCCACGGAGCAACCAAAAGGCTCCTACCGTAATAGTTGCCGCCGGCATTCTTTCAAGGGAAGGTGAAATTATCGCCCGAAATGACGGTTTTTCGTCGTTCGCTCTGGGAAATTCATGCATGGTATAGAAGTGTTGTCTTTTTACAAAATGAGAAATAATCATAATATAGTGGCAATCATAATATATTGGTAAACACTATCACAATTATATTATATATAATCAGTTATATAAACTTATGTTCGATACAATATCTTTCTCTTGTTAATTTTAGCTTAATTCCACAAATGGTTAAAAATATTTTTGGTCAGAATGGAGAATCTTTACACTTGAACCTTATACCGGCTTTTATTTGATCCCCCATGCAATTTTCTCTCTTCCATATATTTTTCTCCTCTCCATCTCCATCAATAAGCAGTTCATTTTCACTTTGATTTATTCCAATCGTTGGATCTCTGAGATAAAAACTTGGTTTAAAGGAAAAAATTTCAAATATATCCGGCTTCATCTTCCTTATAAAATTCTTTGTTGCATCGTGGTGTTTTGTAAACTCCCCTGTGGTTATGGGTATTACATTTACCCTTACTTTTTCGTACTGGTTTTGAGGACATTTGTATTCGGCACACGCAGCATTTTCTGTCAATGTTATAATGACAGTTCCTGCGCGCTCTTGGGCATCTCCTAGCACACTTTCAACTGCAAAGGATGCATTTCTATTAGGACAGCTATTAATGTTTTCCACGGCAATTTTCACGAAGCATGCTTTAGATTGTGGAGAACTTGGATACCAGTTTGGGCCGAAAACTTCAACTAAATCCTTGGATATTTCTTTGTTTACTGGCAACTCAAAAGAGAAGCTATTCTCATCCGGGCTAATTCGGCACGAATAACTGTTGTAATAAAATGGTGAGGGTTTGGCACTCAATGGATAGGTTAACTTTTTCATTGTTATTTTGTTGCTAAATTGTTCCGAAACATCCGAAGAACGATAGTATTTTATAACGTGTCTACTATTTACATCCTCGTCAATGCCCGTTTCCTTTGGGATTAAATATTTTCCATTTCTGGTAGCTTGTATCACCGCTAGATATTCTGTGCAATACGTTTCAATACAAGCTGCTCCGTCCCGAACATATTTCACTTGATATCTATTTAATAATTGTTTCCTTGTTGCCAAGGTAATCTTTGTGCTTTGAAACTCTTCCGTCTCGGAATCGGGTACTCGAATTTTTAGATAACATTTCTGTTCTACCTTGGAATCTAGATTACCTAGATAATTAAAACGTCTGGCATCAAATTTTCCAAAGAATAACTTTCTTCCTGACCTTCTTGACCGTCGTGTTTCATGTTGTTTCAATTCTTGGTCCATAATACGCCATCTTCCTGTTTTTTTGTCCATGTACCAAAGCTTTATATTTTCAGCCTCTTTTTCAGTAATGTTGTACTCATCTAGATCAAATAGCACATCAATGTCTCTGTTAGGCTGCAAACGGTTCCCATTCAGATCCCGAAAATCCATCTTTATTACTCCAAAAGTCTCCAGCAATTCTTGTTCTCCGTCATCATTAACAGTGCTAAAATCTCCATCAGCTTCTTCGACTTCCGTTGCGTTCCTTGGATCAACAAAACTAATTTCAGCTTTCGCTTCTCCATTATAAACCGTCCCGTCCTCAGCTATTAAGCTTTGTGGAGGGAGAGATACTGCTACGGCAGGAACTGATTCTTTGTCGCTTTCAGCGTTACCTACAGGTTGTCCAGAATTTTGTGTTCCCAATGATCGCGAATTTCCCAAAGGAATTTCAAAGCCTTCATTTGCATTAACTGTAATCGACGCAGGCCGCAGCTTCATGCGTGCCTCTACGTAAGTTTCACGACCTGGGACTAGCGCAATGACTTTAGTTAATTCCTGGAAATCGTTATAACCACGTTTGTCCTTAAAAGTAACAACTAAGCGAGATAAATCCCCAGGAACTTTAAAGGAAAATTCACCCTTTCTTCCAGTGCGAGTCAAATATTTATCGCCGTGGTATATATATCCATATTTAAAAGGAATATTCTCTGGGCCTCCTCTGGCTACTCCTTTGACAACTGTTTGCCTGTCGAGGCATTTCCCACAACCACACTTTGTTACTCGCGTCATGTCAAAGGAATATCGTTCGCAGTCAATCTTAATTTTCTTTGTGGCTGTGGGCTGACAACAAAAATTGTCTTTACAGTCATTTATATTCTTTAGACCACGTGCAATGCATTTCTTTTTATGACATTTACCCATATCAACAGTAGCAGAGTTTTTATCTTTGTCCGCGCAGCCTTGCGGTAGTGTAATTATCCGTTCAGACGGCGTGGAATCACAAGTATCGTCAATCCCACCTGTTAAAAGATGTCAATTAAAACAACGTGTAATTGAGTAAGAACTGATATTTTGGTACGTACGATATTTTTAAACATATCCTGATTAGAGAGTTGGGTAGTTAAGCTTCTGCATATGCATCGTGATGAGCCAAAATGAGCTCGACCTTTAAATTTACTCTATGACTAAATTGTTAAACACGTCTGAATTTATTAATAAATAAATTCGGGACACCGCAGAAAACCACAAGCATCACAGGCATGATTTTTGTTGTAACGGGAGGTAGATCGTGCTGGGCGGGGAAGTTATAAAACATTAGATGAGGATTAGATCAAGATTATATTAGGGTTAGAGATGGGTTTAAATTAGGGTTAGGTCCATCTATACCAATATTATTATTATTATTATTATTATTATTATTATTATTAGAAAATTATTTAATTAACAACGGTAACCCTTCAGCAAAGGCTGCTTTTCCAGGAGCCGTTTTATTAATTATTAACAAATTAACTTTTCAAACTACAAACTAATCTAGGTATATACAAATAGAATGAAAGTAACATCAAATACATGCACTCTAGTTACATTTTAAAAACGAATCCTTATTCTCGTTAAAAAGAGGCATTAGAGCAGATTTCAAACAACATCATTCAATTCGTAAAAATACTTATCAAGCAAAATTTTAAAACGACCGTTTGAAAATTGCTCATTGGCCTTAGTTATTTAAGTCATCTGGTAAATTATTCCAGGCAACAGCGCCCCGGTACGAGAAACTTCTTTTCATAAAGTTTCTACTGGGTTTGCCTAATGCGAGCTTGTGTCTATGGCTTCTGATATTGCATGTACTATTCTCACAGAATTTAAACATATTATTAATTTTTTTTTTGTAAATCAGCAGCGGTCGGAATCCTAACGTTTTATGCAATTTGATTGGCTGCAGCAGCGGGAGGAATTTTACGATATTTGACCACGGTCCGGAATCCTATACGTTTAAAAAATATATAAATTTTTGTATGTTTATAGCCTCCTGCGCAGACGTTGTTAGTGGCCGAGGCCTCACCTAACGTCTGCTCACATTCGCTATACATTTGACTTCCCGGCAATTAACCAATCACAATCATCTACACGATAATTGGAAAATCGGCCTTCAATGACCTTCACACGCATGGGCTATATCAACAAGTCTGTAGTATTTTTAAATTTGAAAGTTTTAACACTGCGCGTTAGAAAAAGGCTTTTCAGTCTATTATAAACGAAAAGGATGTTGTCGTAAATCTTACAACTGACGCAGGAAATCCCTTATTTATCACGCCGTTACCGAAGCTATTCGATGTAATATTCGGATTTAAATATTTAAACAAATTGTAAACATTGTAAACATTTAGCAATCGTGGTTTCGGTTGATAAATTCCAATACGAGATCAAGTCAAAAACTACACGATCTAGGAGTCAGTGCTGTGTCATTATTAAGTTGAATCGAGAGCGATAAAGAAGC